AAATTTTAGAAAAGTTAGGATTATCGCTACAACGACTAAAACTCGAAATTTATAATGAGATTGAGAATGAATTATTATTATTAGAGGCAATTAAGGACTTCTGCCCAAATATTACATATCTCAAAATCACATATACAGAGTTTTCCACACAACTCATAGAGCTTATTGGTAATTTACAAAAACTTCAATTCCTTATGTTACATTACCAACTTAGTAAAGATAATCCAACAGAAAAAGAACCTATAATACGTGTTAAACAGTTTGCAAAAACATTGCCATTGACATTGTAATATCTTGACTTAGGGGATAGTATTTGGCTGAAAACATATATTGATATTTTGCTTAGTCATTGCAATGCACCTTTAAAAAAATTGTTAATTAATGGTTTTGATAACAAGAAAAAAATTGAAGCATTAATCGAATTTTGCATACGAAAAAGAACTTTGAATTATGTGGGTTATCAGGTGTTAAATGAAAATTTTAGTAAGGCAGTGGAAGCATATGTTACATTGGTACCATATAGACGAATTGAAGTTGGTTGCTAGTTAATTGCGCGACGCTGTGAATAACATTGTATTCGGGAAATGTGTATTAAATAGAGAGGGAATAAAGCAATCTCTTTTTTTAAGGCATTTAAAAGAAAAAATCAGCAGCTTGTCTATTAAAAAATAATAAAATTTATAATTTTCGCAAAATTCTAAGTATTTGACATATTGAAAATAATACTGATTATTAAAAAGAAAAATAAATAAATAAAAAACATAATGATAAAAATTTAAACAGTATGTTTGTTATACGTCAGTTCATTGATTTTTAAAATTAAGATGCGTACGTAAGTCATTTTAAAATTTATAAACTTATTGATTTGTAGAGAAACTGCATGTGAATTATCGAAAATAAAAGACATACAGTATTATGAATCGTTCAAAATTAATCGTAGCTTAACACTTTTGCGAAACTCTAAAATCTGAAGTTCATATTTACAGTAGTTAAAATCGGAAATATTAAAAGTATAAAATTTGCCCTATTGAAGACTTCGTAAATTGTTAAGCGCGGAACTAGATGTGTATTACGAGATGAATGCAATCATCACTAATATGAACTATCAAAAAACCAATGCCAGGTAGTTTTAAAATTTGATTACTAACAAATTTAAATTAAAATCACGTGACACATATTAATTACTATACGTATATTATATTGTTATACCTGGCTTTAGACGACCTCTCCTTAAAATCATTGTTTGAATTGTGCCATTTTAAAGGATAATGTCGAATTCATGTTGGTTTCGAATTGATATAAGTCATAATTTGACATACTTTATCACATGATCGGTGTTATTATACCGATTATTATACGTAAAAAAAGATAAAAAAATTAATAATAACGATAATTAAATTAGGCAGATTTACATTTAAACATTATTCTGACGTTATGTTATGACAATAAAAAAAATCAACCCCTCGATAATTTTAATTCGCCTCGCAATATGTACACACATCCACAACGTCTGGTGCAGAATGGTTTATCATGTTAAAGAACAAGGTTGGGAATTTATTGGCTTGTACGATGTCGGTAATTTACATTGGGAATATCATGGATTATAAATAAATAAAAATATTAGTAAATGTAAACATTTATGAAATTAAAATATTTATTAAGTTTATATATATATTGTATATATTTTTTTTATTTTGGCAAGATTTTATTTCAAAATAATATAATATTCATAATAAATGGTATTTATTTAAAATAAAAATTACAAATTCAAAAAAATTAAAGAATAACTGCAATATCTGAATATAATTACACACACGCACATTAATTAAGAGACTATAAAATCAATCTAACTATCCCTAGGAAGAATTGGCTGATTAATTATTTCACTTAATTCACCAGCAGCATTTATAGATTTAGAACTTATTCTAACATTTTCAAACCTATTATCATGCCAGAAATGCATGACATTTATCCCCTTTCTCTGTAGCTCTACACAAGGCCAATAAGGCTTTTTGGTAGTATCATTTTCACGTAAGAAGTGTACAATCCAAACTTCCAAAGAGTGAAATTTTTTAACATACTCGAATACCCTATTAAAATGGTCTTTTAATTTGGGTCTTGAAGATGTAGCCAAAAGCTCGAGTATGGCTATAGGTTCAGAAGCACCAGGTTTGCTAATTGTTAGATCGCAAAAGTTGTGTTGGAGAACACTGCCTGCGTTAATTTCTTCCAAATGTTACTGGCCAGTTACCTCAAAGCCATTCCCCCCACAAGTTAATTATGTAAAGTTTGGTACATCTCCACATTGTATGTACTTTCTTTAGGAACTTTTATATTTTGCTCAGAATCTACATTAATTTGATTTGAGCTTTTGTAAGAGCATTCTGACCCTAGAGCAATAGTTTTGGAATCAAACATACAAACAGCAGACTTTAATACCTCTAGAATATCTACTGAACTATCATTGACTTGAAGAGATACTTCTATATTGGGGATAAAACAACTTTCTGTACATTGTCTTTTATTTGGAATATCTGTCAGATCAATCAATCTTCGTTTCCCTAACACAGTTGATGTTGAGAATAATTCTGACTGTTGTAAAGATGTCTCTTTGTCTTGTTTTGTGTTATTCTATAAAGCTTGGACTTTTTGACTTTGAATATCAGCCTATAAAAAGCAAATTAGATGAGAAATATTTTGTATAAAGTATAATTAAATAAAAAATAAATATTTTTAGATAAATGGCAGATGCAGGGATATACTTAAATTAATTTTTATTAACAATTTGGTGTCCAATTGGTTTTAGACATATATCCAATTCGTTTTGATATTGGATATAAGTCTAATTCATTGTCTAAATGACTTCGAAACAATTGAACATAGCAGCTTTGTCAACTGTTAACTAATAAAGAAAGTGCATAACAAACTCCTTCTGGAGAGTAGTAGACCTTTATCGTTAATAAAGAAAGTGTATAACAAACTCCTTCTGAAGAGTAGTAGACCTTTATCAAAAATTAAAAAGGTATAATCCTATAAGGTTTACTAGACATACCCAGTGCACGCATCTATTTCAGTATTTGTAAGAGTAAATATGCTATGTAGCAGCATAATACCCACACCCCCATCAGCTGTAGCCAACAGATACAAAATACCTGGCTAAGACCCTATTTATCTGATAGGTTGTTATACTATGTCTTTTACTACTGGTGAAGTTCATATTTCTTTACTGACAATCTTATACAAAATGCTATAAAAGACATTATATACATAATCTTTTTTAGCATTTAGATAGTTATCAATAATTATCGATATGTAACAAAGAAGTGTTCACTTGTTGAATGAAATAAGCACAAAGAACATGGCGAAGGAAATATTACAGTCAAGAGAAGAAAAAAAGGCAAAATCATAGACAGAACCGGCAGCAAATATAGTAGACATTCTAAATAGTAAAATTAAAAAAAAAAAAAGTAAAGAAAAAAATATCAGTAGAGTAAGAAAAATTAACAGCAAAGAGTAAAGAAGTTATCTGCGAAAAATATTTGCAAAAAGTAAGAAAAATTAACAGCAAAGAGTAAAGAAGTTATCTGCAAAAAATATTTGCAAAAAGTAAGAAAAATTAATAGCCAAGAAGTTATCTGTAAGTGTAAAGCAAAAGTAAGAAAAAATCAATAGCAAATAGAAAAAAGTTATTTGTAAGTAATGTAATTATTGATTAAGTTGCATAAAGTGAAAAATCAAGATCAAAACACGTGTAATGCGTCATCAGGTCTGCAGGTGTTGTTTATATATATGCACAACACATTATCAGTGCTAATTAATACAGTGCTACTGTGTAACATAATGATCATCAAAACACACTATTGTGTAACATGATGATCATCAAAACACGCGCGCCAAGTGTAGTATTTGATATAATTTTTGGTTGGTACAATATTATACAGTGCTACTGTGTAACATGAAGATCATCAAAACATGCTATTGTGTAACATGATGATCATCAAAACACGCGCAATGCATCATTAGATCTATCAAAAACACACATGCCAAGTGTAGTATTTGATATACCATCGTATTTTATCCATCTTGTATTTTCTTCATGTTTTTCTAATTTATATAAAATAAAATAAAAACTTAACAAAATAGACATAACCAAAACATAACAACATAAAAATATAAAATTTTCTTACTAGTTATAGTAATTTCTACAGGTTTAGATGTGTTAGGTTATTAGTTCGGAGTGTAGCAGAGGATTCTATATTTCTACACAAAGTGATAAAAATGTTTGTTTGTCCGTCCGCACACGTGATATATAACCAATCACAATCCACAGATCGACAAATATATGTATAAACACGCTTGGCAAATCTTTTTCCTGAAATATACCATCAAATTTACGATCATATGATACACTCCGGACCCATAATGCTATGCATTTTCCTAGTTATGATATGAACATCTCTTTCTGTCTCTGTTTGCAGTTGTTAAGTTACAACTGCAGCTGTTGCTTCTGTTGGTTACTCGTTTAATTGCTTGTTTTTGAATCATTGGATTAGTTTTAGTCGTGTTGAGTAGTCTTGTCAAATATTGCCGTGCTGCAGCATTACGTAAGATAAAAGTGCCGAGTGGAATAATATTAAATGCTGGATATTCGTTAGTGCTTAATGATTCTAATTCGTTTGTCGCATACAATTTATTTATTATCCTAAATTCACATCCAACCAGATATGAATCATGATTGGGCTTTTTAATAACCTTCATCGAGAAAATTAAATAAGTGCAAATTTGCAAAAATCTGTATTTTTGCAGATTTTTGTAAAAAATCTGCAAAATTTTTTAGAATTTGAAGTTTTGCACAGAAATAAATTTAATTTCTGCATTTATAGTATCAAATTTGAAGTTTTGCGCAGATTTTTATTTGATTTTATTATTTAATTTTTTGCAAATCTGCGCAGAACTGTAATAAAAAAAATTTCCTGATGTTACAAGGAAGTTCACGTCAATCAATTCTTTCTTGTCGATAAAAAAAAAAATTTTATTTATAACTTTAAATAAATAATATTACCTTTAAATATGGGTTTGCCTGGTCGTCATATTCCGTATCCTGATGAGCTTGACAAGTTACAACGTAAAAATCTTTGATAGGACAAATTGTGTACCATGATAATGATTATGATCTTCCGGTTTAATGTTTAGTTCTTCAATATTCCAACTTAACTACCATAAATTATGAAGAACCTAATAATTGAATTTGAATTTTCAATTGTACTTGCAAAAGTGTCAAACAATGATTATATTTTGAACGATACATAATAAGTATTTTTTCATTTTTTCGATTACTCATTTACTATTATAAAAGTTTGATGTATCTGTGGTCTCGAACCATTATAGGTGGTCACGAACCACGCTCTGTGGCTTCAAACCCAGATCTCTCATACATAGTCACTTCATAACAGATAACGAAATACAGGAAAAATACGTATATACATGGAAAGATTTAGTAAAAAAATTCTACAACACCGAATTATTATTTTCATCAGCCAGGACATTAAAAATCTGGCGTCAGCTATAATTTTAGCCGGTCGGCTAATATCGGGTACGGCTATAGTCGGTTAATAACCGGCTATAGCTGTAGCCGTTCCATCCCTACACAAAACTTAAATTTGACAAAGTTTTTTTATTAAATTAACAGATTGCCAGTTTATTTAATTTTCAGCCAATTTTTAATCTATTAAATAGGGCCCTGTCAATCAACATTTAGGAGATTCATAACAACACACTTGTGATTATATTTATTTGGAAAATATATAATAATTTAAGTACAGTATAAAAAATAGAATTAAATATAATACAACAAAATATATCAATGTTAACAACAAATACCTACTTCTTACTTTCTTGTATTTATTAAAAAGCTATTTTTGTTTTTGTCAAAAAATTAATTTAGTTTTATTTTTTTTATTCTGAATAAATTTATAAATAAAAAATATTAATAAACACGCAAATGCTATAACTATAACTAAAATTGTAACAATCCAGCGTGTGATTAATTTAGTTTTATCAAAACTATCAAATGATGTAGTAATTGGAGTTGGAGAAGTTTGAGAAGAATTACTATATACTACAGGTATAGATTGATCATCATAATTAGATAGTAATGACCATTTATAGTTTGATAGATTAGATGTATCTAATTTATATATATTATTAGCAAAACTTTTAAGCTCGTCCTTTTCGGATAAATTCTTACCTTAAAGGTAATAAATGTTAATAATTATTATTATAAATCACCTAAACAAAATTATAATTACATACCAAATGCTGTAATCATATAATTTTTGACCATAACAGATGTATGACCAGACAAACATCCTATAGAATTTTCTTCTATTGGTGTTGACCATTCAAAAGGTGTTTTTGAAGTGTCCAAAACTGCCAAATACGGGATAGCTGACGTAGATAAATTACTTTCTTCGCCGTAATTACTTTCTCCACCATATACAATAACGCGTCCATCTGAAGCTAAAAAATAAAAATAAAAATAAAATAAATTTTAATAAAATATACAAAGAACTTTAGGTTTATTCAATATATACATACTTAGAACAGCTGTATGATAAGTACACTCTTCTGGTGGTTTACCAGTTGTATTTTATATGTTTAAAATAATAATAATTAACTTGATTCATTGATATGTATTACAGTATTAACAACCAGTAAATTGAATAATTTTATACATTGATTTGCCATGAATCTTTTATGCTGTCATATGTTAATATTCCACTCATTAAAGCTCGATTGATACCTGATGAATTTCCACCAATATATAATATTTGACCATTTGAAAGCAAAATTGGAATGCATGAATAAATATCAAAGTAATCTGAAAATAAACTTTGCGGAGTAGAATTACTACTTATCCACGCAAAATTAATCGTATCAAATATAACTACAACAGTATCAAGTCCTTGAAATGAATAAGAAATGCCAGTTGTTTTATTAGTAATCCAGGAATGTGTAAGAAAAATACTTTCATTTGGTAATCCTTTGTAGCTATTATTTGTTTCCCATTTGTTTAATTCAGTATTAAGTGTATCAACGTATTAAGTGTATCAACGTATAATCCATAATTACTTTTATCAATAAAGAAAAGTTTTTTATTTGAATTGCCACCTATAAATGGATTATCAGTTATAATGTAGATAGGAGAAGGTGCAAGAAAGATCCATTGGGTCGTGGAAATAGTTCCATTTTCTAATGTTACGCCTTTTAAATCTATATAAAAGTGATCAGACGAGTATGGTCCAATAAAATACAATTTATTTTCAATATAAAATGCGTTATATCCGCTACCACCAAGACAGTCTACAAGAATAACAGTGATGCAGTAAAAAATTATTAAAGCTCTGAAGAAAATATATAATAAATGGACCATTTTTGAATTAAAAAAAGAAAAGGTAGAATTATTCTTTAAATGTAATTAAAAGACATAGAAATAGGGAAAATGATATTTTTTGCGTTAGTAGATTAAAATGTAGCATTTATAATAAATACTAAGGATAATATGTTAAATTTTAACTGTAGCACAGCATATTGAAATTACAAAATAGGTTGTACACACAATAACATTTATTAATTCAATTTAAAGTTAGAGTATGGGTAAAAGTTAAAAGAAAATAGTCACTCCCGACATTTTTTCTAGTGTTGCCAAAATATATTTAGACATCAGTTTCCTTTTTTGCTCTATTTCTTTTGACGAAAAATTTCATAACCTCCGGTATTTTACATAAAAAGGTACGTACCTATTACGCATAATTTAATTGAACAATAAATCTTGACTAATATTTGATCGATCATGTATGAATTACTTTATAGACGCAAGATTTTGACACATCTAAATTGGCTATAAACCATGTACTTCGTTTCACTACATTCCTAGTACGTACGTACGTGCGAATATTCAACTATATAGTACATCACATAGTTATAGGTAAAAAAAAACAAAAATAACGTTTTTAATAAGACTATTTTTACATGTACACTAGTGTATGAAACACGGTATAATCATAACTCAAAATTTTGCTTATGAAACCACTTTTGGAGTTCTAACAAAAAATAATCTACACAAAATTTTAATATAAAATACCCTCCTATTCTAATATTAAGTGATTCATATGTTATACGGATTTGCAAATCGATTAATTTTAGAAATTTTTTCTTAAGAAATTAATTTTAGAAATTTTCTCTTAAGAAATTTCTTTGTTACAAATGTTTATTATTATTTGATATTGTGATATATTAATTGTATAAATTTATATTATTAAAATTTCAAAAATTCAACTTGTAGAGTATTATCACGTAATTCATAATTGATATATATCTCTCAGAATTGTCGTATTAAATATGTTGTATTCGAAGCTCTTATCCAAATAAGTCGAATTTTCGGAGTTTTTTTACGTATATAGAACATAAAAATCGATGGAATAACTCACTATACTTCATTATTACAGTTTGCAAAGTGACCTCTGTAGGTCATGATGCGTTTGAAATCATGGGAATTGGCCGATTTTCCTTAAACGAATATATGGTATAGGGTATAGAGCAAGCCGAATTTTAAAATCGTACCATACTGATCTGGTGTTATACGTATATATAGCATTAGGGTTAGCAATTATAGCTGATCAGTATTTTGCAAAGCACAATCAATATTAGTTCATATCGGCGAATTTGAAATTAGTCGGAGAATCTTTTAACCCCCAGATCGACATTTTCCTAGACCAGTTCTCAAATAAAAGAAACGAAATGGGGTGTCTAGCAACTCACTTTTTGAAATAGAAATTTATTCAAGTAGTTAAAATGTAATTAACAATAATTGTGATTAATATAAATAAGGTCATTCGGTACTTAATTGGAATTAAAATAACTTTTTAAATAGCCTACTTAAAAATATATAATATTTTTAAATAACTTTTTTTAATTATTCTACTTTAAAAAATATATGCATAACATATTTTTAAATAAACGTTTAAATATTCTACTTTAAAAAATATACAGTATGCATAATATACTTTTATGATAAATAAAATAAGTTTAATTCTGAAACCCTTCACTTTCGTTTTTTTTAAAATTGTTGCTATTAATTTAAACCATTATAAATCCGTTAAATTTATTTTACTTGAATGTCACCAAGAAATCTTCAAAATATACCATCTGCCACTTGGCAATGGGCAGATCCGTTAAAAAGTTTTCTCTTAATTATAATAATAGTTGTGTGGGGCCATTGTCTTGAAATATGTAAAGAACAGTCGAATTATACACCAGAATTTCAACAATTAATGGGTCTAGGATCATTTATCGTGACTTTCGCGTTTAGCCTTTTGGTTGAATCAATATTTACTCATATATTTGCCTATGTGCAAGGCATTTTTTTACTTAGTAGACGAGGCATTCCATTCCAATCCATTATTATTGGAGGGAATCCATTACAAGTTTCAGTGACATGTTTTACCATGATAAAACAAAAACAAATTAGTATCATTCAATTGCTATCATATTTAGGTACTTTGGTAATATATATTCTAAGTTTTAGTATTGGCGCATATGCCACATCTACTTTGGGAACCCCTTATATCATGGATGTAACCCCTTTTAAATGGATACAAGTCCCAACAGTGCTAACACAAGAATTAAATAATAGCATGTATAACGCATTTGTCGAAGATAATTTCCTTGGTGCATTTACCAATATTCAAATGAATCATTTGTTTAGTTGGGTTGAAAGAACTAAAGATGATATCAGCGAAATAGCATTTATGCCATTGACAATCACTGAATTAATTAAAGGACTAGAACAAAATCTGACGCTAAATATTCAATCCAATAATCAATACTTTAATAGTGGTCTGGCCAAATGGAAATTAGAGAAGACGTATAATAACGTTGACATGCAATATTTAGCATCCCAATGTAGTGCAAATATAATTCCTTCTTGTGAAATAGATGGTCGAGAAAGTGTTTACGTAATGGCTGGAAAAGAAAATCAAACAATTTCATGGCGCTTGTGCAATTTGCATTATAATACTATGAATACTTCCATGCAAATTGACTGTAACATATCTATCAAAGGAGGCATTTTTCCTCTTATAACATTTGAATATCCTAGCGTTACTCAACAACCTCGTGAAGAATATCTGTCACAAGTTTTAATAAAAAAAAATGAGTTAAAAGAATTAAAAGAAATCAAGAATAATCTATTTGCTATAATGGAGGATGTTTTATTACGTCCTCTCAACAATAGTGATCCAATTACCAAAAATGTTGCTATACAGTTAGCTTCTGCTTGGAATTGTGAACCTGAAAATGTTACTTGTGCTCAATCTAAAGGAACAACAGCAACTATAAGATACGTTGGTGCATTATTGGATACTGCGTCCGTTATGTATTTAGCAGAAATTTCAAAAAATATAACTGAATTGTTAAAGAATAATTCATCAACGACCGGTTTCTTTAGGTCTTCACATAGAGTGTGTTTAGGCGGCACTAATCCAATGCAATCAATTGGATTAATGATAGCAATTCCACTGATAATAATAATTATTGGATTATTACCATTGTTATACAATAATAAATTATGGTGGCTTGCAGCTGATATTGGAAACAATTATATTGCTTTTATAAGGAGTATTAGTCCATGTGGAGAAAATTGGGACAACGAATTACCTGAATGTATTGCACGCCGCGGTGAAACTAAATTTAAGAAAACAGTCAGGCTTAATGTTAAAGATAACCACATTGGGTTATCTTCTAGTCTTAATGATAATAAAACTTAATAAGGCTGACATTATCAAGCTTTGCATACAATTCGACATATATAATCATTTGCATTTTTTGCACTTTTAATTAATAATGTTCATTTCATAATTAAAGTGTTATATATAATTTCTTAGGCTCTATATAAAGGCCTCTTTATACCGAAATTTGGATATACTGACTTCAAAGTTCAAATTCTATTAATTATTCAATCTAAAATGTGCCATAGGCTCTAATAAAACATATTAACTTTCTATTGGAATTATTATTTTTTTTCACTATAGAAAAAGTTGACTAATTTTTTATATAATAATGAAAGTAACGTTAGATATTACATAAAGAACTAGAAAACTTTTTCCTTGCAAAAATAAAGAAGGCATCGAGCTTTTAACGGATAAAGTCAAACTTTCATTTGCATAGCCAGTCGATCAAAATTTTCAAGAACCAATATATATTAAATAATATCGGCAACCAAAAAAAAATTTAGGCGCATAGCATTTTGTAGCACCGTTGAGAAAGTATTAAAAAATTTCCCATAATATCTGCCATAAACCATTCATAATTTAGAACTATGTATACGCATACTGTAAAAATACGCAGTAATTCATTCTGGTCCCGAAATTTTGATAAAAGAGAAGATATTTCTACTTTATCTATACTACCATAAATTCTTCTAAAAATATATACATGTCTATTTAATACGTAGGCAGTTACAATTTCATATTTTATAAAGTTACCAATAATCATCAATCATTGCCTTATTTCCACAGTAATATACTGTATGCTAAAAGTTTTTTTTTTTATTAAGAATATATAAGATATTGGAATAACTACTATAACATATATGATAAATTTAATAGATTAATTATAAAAATTATATGATCAATTTTTTTATGCTAGGTAATTTAATTCTGAAAATCAGATGACAATCCAACATGGTTTTCTTTAGTGCTAAATCTAACATTTTTTTTACAATTAGCCTCATTAGGACGAGCGGTACACTCAGGTAAAACACTTTCCCACTCATTTCCACATGGTTTAATGCTCCGCATTAAAGAAAAGCTATCATTACTAATATCTGAAGCGAGCCACCATATCTTGTTACGATGCAATAGTGGCAATAGTTCAATAATCATTAATACTAATGGTATTGCTATCATTAGCCCAATTAAAAACATTGGATTATTACCGCCTAAACACATCTTATGTGAAACCCTGAAAAAACCAGTTGATCCATTATTTTTTTATTCATTCATTTAAATTGAGGTTATTTTCTAAAGGATATATAGTAAATGCAGTCTCTAATATAGCTCCGATAAATTTCACTGTTGTTTCTGCTCCAGCATTTTGAGCACAAGTAATATTTTGTTCACAATCCCAAGAATTATACAGCTGTTGAGCAACATTTTTAGAAATTAAATCGGCCCAATTAAATTCAATCTGATCCAATATAGTAAATAGGTCGTCTTTAATTTCTTTTGCATCTGATAATTCATTCTTTCGTAATAAAACCTGAGACAGATATTCATCACGAGGCTTATCAATACTGGGATATTCAACTATTGCAAGAGGAAAGATGCCTTCTTTTATAGTTACATTACAATCCATTTGCATGGAAATAGGGCTTGAAATAATCATTTCTGTGCTACAGAAAAACCATGAGATCGTTTGGTTTTCTTTATTAAAATTACTTTTCATATATGAAGTTTCAGAAACATTAAATTTACAAGGTGCATTTGCATTAGCACTGCATTGAGAATTCAAATAGAGCATGTTAATATTATTAAATCCATTTTCTAATTTCCACTTGACCAAACCGTTAGCGTCCGTAAATTTTTTGCTTAATTGAGTAGTAGATGTAAATATTGTTGGCATAAATGCTATTTCATTGCCATCCACAGCTGTCATTGTATTCCAATTAGACAATGCATTAAATTGAATTACATTAATTTTTCCGAAGGGATTTTCAGGAGTAAAGGCACTGTTCAAGCTACTATATAGTCCTTTAGTTGGAGCCTGTACCCAATTAATTGAAGTTTCATAAAAGATATAAGGAGTTGCCAACTTAGTGGCGGCATATGTGCCGATAGCAATACTTGCAATATATATGATCAAGGTACCTAAATATGAAATTAACTGAGGGATATTATTATGTTTCTGTCTTAACATAATAAAACATGCTGTCAAAACACGTAATGGGGTTGAATCTTCACAAATAATAGCCTGGAAAGGAATACCTTGTTCACTAAGTAGGAAATAGCCTTGTACGTAGGCAAATATATGAGAAAATGTTATTTGAGTTAAAAGACTAAACGAGATAGTCATAATAAATGTTCCTAAACTCATCAACTTTTGAATCTCAGGTATGTAATCTGGTTGCCCTCCACATATATCAAGGAAATAACCCCAAACAACTATGATTGTGATTAGTAATAAACATTTTAATGGATTTCCCCATTGCCAAACGGCGGATAATACATCTTGCAGGTTTCTTGGCGACATTCAAATATTCAAATTCAAGGTTAATGGAATTCAACAACATAAGACGTTGCAATTTTTTTTTAAAAAAATATTACGTATTGGTAAAATTAAGACAGTAATATATGATGCATAGGCGTACAGATCCTTATTTGGGGTGTCATCAATAGAAACAGCATTTTTTTTTTATTTGATTTTTGAATAGATATACATTCAATAAAAAAGTTTACCAAATATCGCGAAAACTAATTATATAATAAAAGATTCACAGAATGAGCTTTAAGTTGAAAATTTATGTGTTACTATATGTAGGCCATTATTTACACAAAATTTAGTTTATGTAAAAATGGGCTGTTTCTATTGATGACACACCAAATATTTATATATAGTTGAATTTGAAGAATGAAAAGTCTTTATTAGAATGTATTTCAAAAGAATCCGAATATAAAAATTGCACATCTATAGTCTTTTAAATGACATAATAATTCGTATTATTCTACGTTTGTGAGACGTTGGGGTGAGCGACACAATATGAAATAAAATTTATACATGCAATATACAGTAGTAAAATTTATTAATATACTATAATAATCCATCGCCAATTTTTTAATAGGTGTACAAAAAAGGTTTAAAATTTATAAAAAAAAATTTAAAAAGGTCAAAAAAAAAAAAAAAAAGACTGAATCGAATCCTCTTGGCTCTATAACTTTGTTCATAAAGATGAAATATAGGCCTTTGCAAAACTTATCCAAAACTACTTAACCATTAAGATTATACATTTATCTAAAAATCTTTATTAATAAATTTTATTACATGACCATATAATTTTGATTTTCATGAGACGTGATTGAGTACAGTATACTGTAATATGATTAGTTATTTGTTATCTTTATGGCAAACTAATTTGTGATCATTACCACAAAATTCTTTAAGAAGCTGCAGCTTCCTCATGACTAGTGATGGGACCTCTTAAATTATTAATTATTTGGTCGATTATTAACTAAAACTACTTAGTAATGTGAGCCAGTGAATAAATAAAAAGCTATTTAAGAAGTGTTATTTAATTTATATATTGATAAATATAAAAATATATCTATGTGTTGGAATAGTTTCTTCGTTTAGAATCAAAAATATTTCCATTTTGGAATAGTTCTTCGTTATTTATGAATATACAGTATTTGTCATTATCCTCTATTTAATTTTCAGAAATTCGGACTTTTAAAGTTTGATTCATTCCGATTTTTTGTGATGACAGAGAAATTTTTAACAGTGATTGAAATTATTACTGATCAATATTATTATTATAATACCCTGCCTTACTATTTGTTGTTCATGCCTACCTTCATTATAATTTCCCACATGACCGGGAATCTTCCATGGGAAGATTCCCGGTCACAAATAATCACACGAAAAATCACAATAAAGGTAGGCATGAACAACGTAAGGCAGGGTATTATTCATGAATTTCCTGTGAGGAGTTAAAAATCACAACAGAGATTCCGATGAACATATGATGCAGACGGCCCTTCGGGCCATCTGTATCGAGAATCTCTGTTGTAATTTTTAAGCTCCCAGGAAATTAATAATACTAATATCACCCCAGGAAATAAATAATACTAATATTTAGCCAATCCTATGACTGTCTTTAATACATAATATAGGCTAGCATGTGCTAAGTTCAGGCCATAATAAAAAAATTGCAAGTATGTGGACACTAGTATTTCCTCCAGTATAGTGCCTGGCGCAATGCCAATTGTGCCCGGCATGTTTAATTGCAGAACCTTAATCGATATATTCTTTCACCTATATTATTTTATGCTATTATAAAAATAAACTTTTTAAATTGATTAATAATATTTAATTTTATTCAACTAATCGATTAGCTGATAAGATAGATAAATAAGTAAAATAATTGACTAACTAATCGGTTAGAATTTTTTTGACAGTTTGTATTATTATCCAATAACCAAAATATTTTCAGTAATTTAACTCATTTTCGCATCCAAAATTATTTTTCAATATCCTCAACTTAGTCATAAATTATTTATGATTTAGAATTTCAAATAATTTCGACAACTTTTATTTACAGCATAAATTTGGTTCTCTCACATATAATAAACATCGATTCTGATTGTGCACCTAAAATTTGTAACCGAAAATACTTTATTTAATCTGCAAAACTAAATTCATTATGTCCTGACATAAAATTTTCCTGTAGTCTAAACTCAAAATTTTTTCATCGTGGAAATAATTTGGTGACTTAAATTAATCAAGAATCTATACCCTATTTCACATGAATGAAATAACCAGCAAAACGTACGGAATACTTGTGATGGTCAATAATTACAATATGTTAGTAAATTTTACAATTATCAACATTCGTTTAATGTATAACGTAGCAATTTAACATATAGTGCAAATTTAATTATGAAAAAAAATGCTATACATAACTCATTATAATTAATATACAGTAAGTTACGGATTATATAGGATACTGATAAAAAAGGTAGAAAATAAGTCTTTTTTATTGTCATCTAAATATGCACTGAAATTTTATATTTAATTTACAGCAATAATAATTTCGGAATTTTTTATTTTTATTAAATTTGCCGAGTAACAAATCTCTGCTGGAAAAATGTTGATACAAACTGATTCATAAATATTACACTGCATATCAATGTACATATAGTCACATTAAATTCACATATATACGTATGCAGTATGCACGTATAATTTTAGACCTACAATAGTTTTGAAATCTTTATTACAAATACGTTTTTCTAAACTCAATGGATAATAACTTGAATCAAATATTTGCATCAGAATATTTTGATACAATTTTCAGATTTCTTCCGGATAATGAAGATTTGCATTCTTGTCTCTTAGTTAATAAAAATTGGGCCACTTGTGCTGTTCCAATTTTATGGGAAGCACCCTTCAGATTTTATGACGAGGATATTCCATTTACTTATGACGAGGATATTCAATTTCATAAAGTGATCCAAACTTATCTTGCATTTATACCAGATAGTACTTTTCGCAAATTGGGATATAATAGAAGAATTGGGTTGTCAAATAGTAGACCTCTTTTTTTTAACTATCCATCATTTATTAAAGAACTCTCATATGATCATTTACTTAATGCAGCTATTGCATACAATTGCAGTGAAGATATTATAATTGAGTTATTCAAATTATTTGCTATAAATAATGTAAGATTACGCCGATTAGAAATCTACAGTTGTCTTAATAATTATAATGAAAACCTAAATAAGATAGGATATTTGGTTCCTCAGTTTTATGAATGCACTTCTGTATTTAGTAGGTTGACATATTTTAATTGTAGCTATCGATGTCCAATGCAAAAAACACAACTTTTTAATGCAATAGCGAACCATTATCGTAATATTAAAACCCTTAAAGTCAGTATTTATGATGAAAATGAAGGAATGGCTTTAGGAGGTCTTATCCGTTCTCAAAGGAATTTAAGAAAGTTCGCTCTGATAAACAGTAATCATTTTGCATCATTTCCTATCCAAGCTCTTATGAATCAAAAACATTCACTTGACAGTTTAGCACTTGAAGATATGCATGGCAACCGTTACTTAAGCAAGACGAAATTTTTTAATTATACTATTTGCCAATTAAATAGCAGTGCTATTGATGTATTGGCTCAGTGTAAAAACGTCAACAAAGTGAAGTTTAAACATTGTGAAGGACTCAATTCTTCTGTATTTCTTCCTCTTGCTATTGCTTTTTCGAACTTAACATCCTTAGAATATACTTATGGTAATTACGACTTTTATGATAGTGCAACCCCTATTAGATTATTATCTGGTCTCATTATGACAAGTTGCAATACACTTAAAAGAATTGTACTTGATTGGTATTCAGAAGCTAACCTTGATATTACACAGCTTGTCGGAATTATTGCACAGCAAGTGACAAATCTCGAGTATTTAAAAATTCCACTCTATACATTAGAACAGCTTGCATTAATTCACCAAACCCATAATCAATTAAAGAAACTTGAAATTAATATGAAAAGAGGAACAAATCCATATTATGCTCTTTCCCTCTTAACAAATGTCCATTCAAAAGCCTTAAGCACTCAAGTCATTTGTATTTCGATAATCGTAGATATTATTTTAAAAAACAATATAGTTTACTAAGCCAGTTCTTTGAATCTATTTTCTACAAAATTAATCGGATTATTAATTTTATTTTATATCTACGTAATGATTTAAATAATCCAATAGAAAGCTTTTAAGGAAATATCCAAGATTCAGAATAAATACCTTGCATAGCTCGGAGAGGCATACATATATTGCAAGAGTAAATTCTGAACCATGCAGTAATGAATTGCTTAAAATTTTTGATAATTTATTAGAAGTAAATTCGAATTACATATGGGCATTAAAGCAACGTGGAGCAACTTATTTTAATATGAAAAAATATATAGAGTCGCTTGTAGATTTGTGCAAAGTTTTAGAAATTGAACCAAATGATGCTTATACATTAAGACTACGTGGCGAAGTTTATTATTTTATGGAAAATATGAAAAATCATTAATAGACTTAAACAAATCACTAGAGATTGAACCTAACAATGCATGGGCGTTAAAATTTCGCGGAATGACATATTCTGTGATTAATAGATACGAGGAATCACTTAATGATTTAAATAGATCTTCAAAAATTGAACCGAATTATTCATTTGCATTGAAAAAACACGATGAAATTTATTGTATCATGAAAGGATATGATAAATCATTCATGGACTTGCTAATAAATGAAATTCTTAACATAGATCTAAATAATGTATATTCATATAAACCACTCACAAACTTGAATGAATTTCTCAAAATAGATACAAATAACGCATTTTCATATAAATCACTCATGAACTTTAATGAAATTCTTAAAACAAACCCAAATAATACATTTGCATTAAAAAATAGGAGTGCAATTCATATGGCAATGAATAATTATGATGAAGCACTTGTAGACTTAAATAAATCTCTCAGAATAGATAATTACGATGATCTTGCGCTAAAAATTCGTGGAATAGTTTATTGTATTATAAAAAAATATTATCTCTTAAAGACTTGGATAAATTTCTTAAAGAGGAACCAAACGATATATTTGCATTAAAACTTCGTGAACAATTTACGATATAAAGAAAAATTATAATTGTTCACTTGATGACTTCAGTAAATCTCTTATATTAGAACCATATGATGCATTTGCATTAAAACATCGTGGTGCAATTTATCTAAATCGTGTAATGGAAAAAGTATTATTGCCAAGTAAGCATTGGGATTATGATAATAGTAATGCTTATGGATATAAAAAATCGCTTGCAGATTTAAATAAATCACTGGAAATTGAACCAAATGATGCATTTGCGTTAACATATCGTGGAATAAATTATTGTGAGACTAAAAAGTATGAGATGTCGCTTAATGACTTAAATAGTTCACTAAAAATTGAACCGAATGATGTATTTACTCTACAACAACGCGGTGTAACTTATTATTATATGAAATTATACGTTAAATCAATTGAATACTTAAATAAGTCACTAGAAATCGATCCAAATAATGCAGATACTTTAGGAGATCGTGGAAGGACTTACTATATGATGAGAAATTATGAAAAATCATTCAAAGATTTAAATGATTCACTAAGAATTGATCCAGCCAATGCAAAATCATTTGGAATTCGAGGTGCGATTTACAGAATAATGAAAAAATATGATGATTCACTTGAAGATTTGAATAACGCTATTCTCGTAGATCCTTATAATGCATTTGCATTAAAAAATCGTGGTGCAATTTACAGGATAATGAAAAGGTATAATGAATCACTTGAAGATTTAAATAAATCTATTAAAATAGAACCAGATGATCCATTTACATTAAAACATCGTGGTACAACTTATATTATGATAAAAAATAATGATAAATGTCGAGATAGTAATGATTATGAATATGAAAAATCGCTTGCAGATTTAAATAAATCACTGGAAATCGAACCAAATGATGCATTTGCATTAAGGTATCGTGGAATAAATTATTGTAGGACTAAGAAGTATAAGATGTCATTTAATGACTTAAATAGTTCATTAAAAGTTGAACCTAATGATGCATTCACGTTACAACTGCATGGTGTAACTTATTATTACATGAAGTTATACAATAAATCAGTTGAAGACTTAAATAAGTCTTTAGAAATCGATCCAAATAATGCAGATACTTTAGGAAATCGTGGAAGGACTTATTATATGATGGAAATTATGAAAAATCATTCAAAGATTCAAATGAATCACTAAGAATAGAACCAACTAACGCTATTGCGTTAGGAAATCGTGGTGCAATCTATAGGATGATAGAAAAATATATTGACTCTCTTGCAGATTTAAATAAATCTCTCGAAACAGAATCAGATGATGAATTTGTGTTAAAAAATCGTGGTGCTACTTACTATATGATTAATAACTTTATGAATTCACGTGAAGATTTAGAAGAATCAATAACTATTGATCCGGAAGATTCATTTGCACTAGGATACCTAGGAGCAATTTACTGTAAAGACGGAAATTATGAGAAATCACTTGAATATTTAAATAGTTCGCTAAAAAACAAGAGAAAAAATGCATTCGCATTGCGACAGCGCGGGATAGTTTATTTTTGTATGAAAGAATATGATAAATCGCTAGCAGATCTAGATAATTCTCTAATATTAGAAAGTCTATATCCACACGCAGTACTTTGAGCTTAATTGTCCGGAGCGTAGCGGAGGACTCTTAATTTCTATGCAAGGTGATACCAAAATTCTGTTTTTGTTGCTGCGTTGATCAGAATATCAAAAACGTAACCTTGCAATTTCCGTCTGTCACATATTTGTGCAGCACAACAAATACGTGTGATTGGAAACCGGTTGGCTGACGTAAAAAAAATAAAATTATTTTATACTCCGGACTTATGAATACTAGAAAGTTTAATTAATAACTAGTTGCTTTAACTTTATAAATCTTTAAGTTAGAAAAATAATTAACTTAATATAATAAAAGTTTAATATATATATATTATATTTATTATAAGAATTGAAACTATTATTATTTTTTTATTTAATGGCCATGTTATGCCCTGCTTTTAGGGTTGGATCAGTCCCAAAAAAGACCGGTCCGGACCGGTCTTTGGACTGGGACTGAAGGTTTTTCAGTTCCCGATCTTAGACCGGTTCAGACCGGTCCAGACCGATTAA